AGGTATACAAGTCAGCCTTAATGCCACTTGCACGCCTTCATTCACATGGGAGGGGTTGAAAAGAGTATAATCTCATTGGTTAAATAATTAATCTTTAAAGATATGTTTCGAAAGAAAAGTTTAGAGAATTTTTTTTTTTAATTTTAAATTAAAAAAATTATATCAATAATAAATACATAGTTAATTTATTAAATTTACATTAATATATCAATTTATATATTATATTTTGAAAATTATTAATTTAAATATATTTATCAAAATAAAAAATTTATCCTTCCTTAGTTACTTCTTAACCTTTCCAAACAACCCTGAAATAATTGCATCTTTATATGTAATACTTTTTGAGTATTAAATCTGCTATCAGCACAGCAGCCCACAGGTCTTACCCAAGTGGTCCAATTTTTTAATAAGACGACTCAGGGATATATATAAAGGCCTAAACCTGACGCATTTCTCATCCTCATTTTCAAAACAGACACTAACTGGTAAAGGTATCACGTATCAAACCATACCTTAACACAATGAATAACCTTGTACATCATGTCCCAGCTGCAGAAGTTGCCAACAGGAACCGGTCCAGAGGCACAACAAAGTCACTTCCGAAAAGAGGACAGATTAAAACCAAGATAGTAGCACATGCTTTTCATTCCATTGCCTCTGTAATTTACAGAGCCTCATTAGCTGGTGGCCTGCATTTTCCAAGAGAAAAATAGCCACTTAGCTTGAAGCAGGACTCAATAATGCATAACATTTTGTATATTGTATCTACATCATCTAGCTTTTCGTCTCCTTCTGTATATAACATCTTTCATTATAAATACGGATCCATGCTTTCTCCCCTTTTCAGTCAGCAATATCCAGAATCCAGCTTCGTAAAGCGAAAATAATTTGATACAAGCCAACAGAATATATATATATGTTTCGCAGTTGACAGTTCCTATTCTATCACCATAATGCTACAGCACTTCAATCATACAATTTGAGTTATATTCTTCCTACAACAATGAATAACAGTGTCTGTTGTGTCGCAACCGCATAAGTTGTCAGTGGTAGTATGCTCACATGCACAAAACCTCTTACAATTAAATTCCCACACCCCCCCCCCCCAAAAAAAAAAAATTAAAAAAAATTATAAGTTAAAAATAATTTATCTATTCAAATTTCATAACTTAAAAAATATATAAGTTATTTTAAATTTATGAAAAGAATTTAGTTATTTTTGTATTAATTTTTTTTACAATAACTTTTAAAGAGTTTATCCCAAACAGGACCGTAGACTCAATTTGTATAAACTTTTAGATAAATATTTGTAAGAAAAATAAATTAGTATAAAAAATAAATAAATTTTTCTAATAAATTATAAACAACTTATACTGTTATATATTTTTTTTAAAAATTTACAAGTTATTTCATTTAAATTCTTTAAAATTTGAGAAGATAAATTGTTTTTATTTTATAAAAATAATTATTCTTTTTTTATACTAGTACTTTTTTATATTTCTTTTAAAAAAATTAATCGATGTGGGTCGTAATCCAAGGTAGCGACCGATTCTCTTAAAAATAACTAGTGACTTGAAGCTGGGATAAATGATATATAAGCTAATTTTGTTTTTTTTTTATATTATATTACATCATCTAGACTTTCATTTTCCTTTTGTAACTTTTATTAAATTTTGCATAAGGCTACATGGTAATTGCCAATCCAGTTAGTTTTATACAATTCAGGGTGTTAATTTCAGACATAAAAAGAATTTAGTTACTTTCTCGGAGATGCTGTCATGGTATGTGATTATGGCCAGCTTAGTTGTAGCGTTCGGGTTTTGCAGAAATAAGAATAAAAGAAAAAAAATTATAATCTCATTTTGTAAGAACTTCTTAAATATAAATAGGAATGACAAGAAAATGAGATGAGATGCGAAGATAAGCCAGAAGTAGGTGAAGTAACAAGCGCGCGGGTGCCTATATTTCAAACCAAAGCCCACATCGGGTAGTATATGGGAGCATATAAACTCCGCACGCTATAAAATGAAAGGATTACGCTGGGACAATTTACGGAGCCGTGTGGTAAACACAGAGCGAACTATTCTTTCGCCTTTTACTAAAGAATACCGTGTGTTCGCCACTTTAAACGGCATACGATAATTTTTGAAAGAGCTTTCCACGTGTGGAGAGCTCTGCAACATCAGTATAAAATTTTGGTGTTTACACATCAAAACTCGGACCTTTAGGTTTTGATATTGTTTTGGTAGTGATACGTTTATTTGAGCGTCTAATTATCTTCTATAATCGATACTGCGTTAATGAATTATATGATCTCTGATTGTCAACTGTATTGGTGTAAGAAACCGATGTAACGTTCGACAGGTTAAATAATCATTTTTGATTGGTAGATAAGTTTTACGAACTTCTCTGAATAGTTAGGGTTAGAGATATGAAAGTGATTGAAGCCTCAAAGAAAGGAATGGGGGCTTTAGGAAGGAGCCCAATAACGTCTTACAACAGATTCAGGTCACAAAAAAAGGAGTAGATTGATGTGGAAAAAGGTAAAATTGTATTTGGGCACAAAATTATATTTGGGCCCGCAACTCTGCCTTGCCACTTTTTTATTAAATAAATAATTTCTTCACAAGTTGACTATTCCTGACCAGATCTAAATCTCAAGTGCTGAAGTTTATATTGCTTTATTTGTTTTATTGTGCCGGACCAAACAAATTCTTAATTGGAATTATGGAATCTATTTGAATTTTTTGAATTCCTTCTTTTATCCCATTGTAATATTTTCTATCGTTGAATGTTCCTATTTGAAAACAATTAGATGATGACAAAATTATCAAAGATCGACATTTCTCATTTCTATTCAACAACATACGAATAGTTCCGTGATTTTGTCTAAGTGATTGTTGAATTTTTGCCTTCGAATAAATAGAAAAAAATGGATTGATAAAGGTCCGATCCGACTCATTATCTGAGATCAATCCTGAACTGGACGGATCATTTCTTTTTCTGAGCACTGAGGCATTGTTTTACAATCTTTAGCTATTATGGTAACTTGCACATCACGGAAAGCAGAATGACAGATAATTTGGTTTTTGGTTTTTGGTTTTTGGTTTTTGGTTTTCTTTTTATTATTACTAAGAATAGACTAGTGAAACATGTAAAGCATTCGTTAACTAAAATTTAAAACAATCATGTTGGAAACAATGATGAATACTTTTATTTTAAACGTAGTTGCTACTCAACTCTAAAAATCACCTAGTGATATTACAATTCGTTTTACTTTCACGTATAATTCTTATCTTTTAAATATAAACCCACATCATATCTGACGATCTAAAGTACAAATCATTTTAAATTCAAATCGAGGTTTAAAAGCATTACGAATATGCTTCATTTCTCTTCAACTTTTTTTTTCTATTGTAAAGGTTTTTCTCACGCCTTTATGTAAAATTAATCTTTACTCGTATAACTAAAACCGTTCAACCATTAAACTCAAATTCACTTATTACTTAAATAATCCATTTTTAATGTTAATATTTAACAAATATTCTTAGAATTATTGACAACCTTTTTGTTTGTGAATTATATCAACATCATTTTCTTTTGATAAAATCGACACCATTTATTTTATGCTCCAGTTTCTTACATCTCAACAATCAACACCCTTCTTTGTTCAAGGATGTACGTATTGTTTATATATGGATCTTAATTCCTGCACAAAATCCTTTTAGAAATAACAAAACAATGAAGTGTAATTTCAGAAAGTGTTTATTTTAAGAGACGTCACTGTAATATTTAAAAGAACTTTATAATAAATAATTTACAATTTAAGCTTATCAATTGTTTTATGCAATATTTAGTTTTTTATTTTATAAGTCAGGACTACGATTCTTTTTAATTTACAAAACAATGGGTGTTTTACTTTAATTCACTGAAACGGAACACACGTTATCGTGTTGATAATCTTTTGTTTGGAAGAACACAAGGGTTTAGAGTCACGGTTAGTGATGTCTATTGTCTGTTTTGATGGCTTAAGTTAGAACATTAGACAGTGGGGGGAGGTAGCTGAAGAAACCTTAAAACAAAAATTAAAACTAGCCAAAAGAAATTCGGGTTTTATTACTTTCAGATAGGTAAAACCTGTCTAAGATAACGCGAACCAGTTCACCTCAGCAACGTAGACTAGTGTAGCCCATATCCCCATATCAACCTCAAAGGCCCAAGTTGAGGAGTGTTCTTTCGCCAAAACAAAAACATTACGGGAATGGGAACAACAGACTCAGTCAAGTTTGAACTGCGAACAAGACAACATCGACCGAAATTAAAGAACATCAGAAAGCGACCCTTTCAAGAATTATTTCTATATATATATATATATTGGTTCACAAAAATAATTTCTATATTACGTTGGTGTAGTTGTCTGCACTCCCTGAAATCTGAATGAGCTTAACTGATTCAATTCATTTGTATTTGTAATGTTGTACGTGGAATATATACAAATTACATTACCATGATTTTCGTTTCATTTTTTTTCTTAATTTATTATCTTCGCTCAACATTTGGCATTGCTACTACTCATCGCAATAGCCACCATCTCTACGATTACAATCGTTGGTTATTACTGATAGAATTGTTTTCTTTTCAATTATAAAGTAATTCTTCCCATAATTATCCTAACTAAAGGTGCCAACATAAAATTGAACTTGTAATTAAAATTGTAATACAATACTCTAATTCTTTACACGATCTAAATATATGTATCACTTGCTTAAGTAGAAATATAAATGAAAATAAAAACCCTAAATTGTGGTTGACACCGGTAGACGTAGATCTGGAAAAAGAGGCGTTGGAGGTAGACATTGTTGATGGGGGAGACAAGTGTGTAAGAATGTAATGTAATGTAACCCCATGAATCATGATAGGATGAGAAAACATTTTCCATTGGATTCGCTGAATTGCCAACGCTAATCTGAATCTGCCTGACACGTGGGCCCTATAAAAATCCAACATCAGACGTTACAATACAATTAGATTCATAGGATTGCCACACCCAAAGCGATAATCACTTAAACTCCCCCAAAAATATTGTATTAAATAAATAATTATCTATCAGCTGTATTGGAGGAGGGGTTGTGAACCTCAGCTCCACCCATGTAAGCTCCCTCAATAACATTTCTAAATCACTTCGTTTCAATTTGTTCCTCTCTGCAATTGCATTCCTTTTACTGTTCTTTCTATTGCACACAGAGTCAAAGAAAATGGGAGAGAAAGAATCAGAAAAGCTAATTTGGGAACAGAGCAGAACCCCCACATCTGCCACTCCCATTGCACAAACAGGGACACAGTCACGAACCTTGCCAAAGCTTCTAGTCTTTCTCATCCTCTTCGTTTCCCTCACCTACGTTGTCTACACGCTCAAGCTCGTCTCCTCCTCACGCGCTTGCCTCGATGGCCCCTTCTCCATCCACACTCTCTCTTCCTCTTCTTCTTTCCCCTCCAAAACAATCCCCACCGTCAATGCCACCGCTTCGCCGCTCAGGGAACTCGCTGTTCACCGACGAGAGTCACGGGAAACTCACCACCACGACCGCACGGAGCTCCGCCACGTCGTGTTCGGAATCGCGGCGTCGGCGAAGCTCTGGGAGCAGAGGAAGAACTACATCAAGCTGTGGTACAGGGCGAAGGAGATGCGCGGCGTGGTGTGGCTCGACCAGAAGGTGAAAACGAAGGAGAACGACGGGCTCCCGCCGGTGAAGATCTCCGGGGATACCTCGAAGTTCCCGTATAAAAACCGGCAAGGTCACCGATCGGCGATCAGAATCTCGCGGATCGTTTCGGAGACGCTGCGGCTTGGGATGAAGGAGGTGCGGTGGTTCGTAATGGGAGACGACGACACCATTTTCGTGACGGAAAACCTAATTCGCATTCTCAATAAGTACAATCACAAGGAATTCTATTATATCGGGAGTTTATCGGAGAGTCACTTGCAGAACATTTTCTTCTCTTACAACATGGCTTACGGTGGAGGAGGTTTCGCTATTAGTTACCCTTTGGCCAAAGCTCTTTACGAAATGCAAGACCGTTGCATACAGCGTTACCCTGCACTCTATGGCTCCGATGATCGAATGCAAGCTTGTATGGCCGAACTCGGTGTTCCACTCACTAAGGAAATCGGTTTTCACCAGGTCCTTAACTCAGTAACTCGCTTTCTTTCTGTTAGTGATAATTATTGCTTGCAATTGTTTTACTGTCACTGTCTTGTTACTATGTGTGGAATGGGTTTTGCACTGTTTTGTCGGCATTGTTTTGGTTTTGCCCTAATTTTTTGTTTTTTTAATAATTTTTTACTGTTTCGTAATGATGCCAATGCTTTGAGCCAGTTTAGTTGGGTTGGTCCCTAACGAATTGCTATTTTCAATTCTGCATTGAAAAACTTTACGCGTCACCAAAATAGCGTTTGCTGAATCTGGAAGTTTCCGTTTTACTTGCTTCTGGACCCTAGTAAGAACCAAGTGCCCTTGCCTCTTTCTCTGTCGGTGTCCTATTTCATTAATTCTTTCTTTGTTCAATTTGACTTCTGCCATCAATTTATGGACAGTGGAATTTAATTGTTTGCGTTGGCTTGCGGCTGTTTTACATCTCCCTATAAATTATTGTTTTAAATTATTTAAATTAATGGCTTGTAGATAGAAATGGAGAGATTGGGACCATTAGAGTGAAGAATTAAGAATTTTAGAGGATCAGATTGACAGGACTAAAATATGATTTTAGAAATTATTAACAGCTTATATATGTAATAAGTAACTATCAAGGGCGTGTTTAGATCATCTAGTTTAGACGGTGGGTGGTGGAAAACATGGTGCTGCTCCTATCTTGGTTTCTAAAATTTGACTTCATGTTACCATTATGATTGGACGAGCACTATGTGGAGTGGAATGTTGGGCGTTTTAGATTTTGACAGTGAGCGATTAACTTTTGAGTAGTTGCCTGGTCCAAAGTTGTGGAGAGGGCTTTTGCTTTTTTCCCTGACTTCGGGTTTACTTTGATGAACAAAGACAATTGCTATAATTTGTCATCGGTTATGATATTTTTATCCGTTTTTGTTAATGTGTGACATAATGGCATTTATTAAGAAATTAAAAACAACATTTATTACTATTTATTAAGTAAATCTAACTGCAATGCTCAAAGAGAACATTAAGTACTTATTAGAAGTTCTAAATGTTTAATGCTTTGACCATTCATGACAAAACCCTGGGATTTCATTTTGTAGAAAAAAGCAGAAAAGTCATGATAATTGTTTTTAGTAAAGGAACGAGGTCTTGCAAATGCATGCTATTCTGCTAACTTTCATACTGACTGCAGCTGATTTATTGAAACAGTATGATGTGTATGGGAACCTGTTCGGCCTTCTTGCATCTCATCCTGTGACTCCTTTGGTGTCACTGCATCACCTTGATGTTGTTGAGCCAATCTTTCCCAATGTGTCTCGGGTAGAAGCCCTTCAACGGCTTACCATACCAATGAAACTTGACTCAGCAGGGCTCATGCAGCAATCCATCTGCTACGACAAATCAAAGGGCTGGACCATTTCTGTTTCGTGGGGTTTTGCCGTTCAGATTTTTCGTGGTGTGTTTTCGCCTCGGGAGATGGAAATGCCTTCAAGAACATTCTTGAATTGGTATAGAAGAGCTGATTACACTGCGTATGCATTCAACACGCGTCCTGTTAGCCGAAATCCATGCCAGAAGCCTTTTGTATTTTACTTCTCTAAGGCAAAATTCAATTCCACAATGCAACAGATAGTGAGTGAATATGAAAGGCATCGCATCCCTCACCCCGAATGTCGGTGGAAGATGGCTAGTCCTGCTGCTCTTGACAAAGTGAAGGTATACAAGAAGCCGGATCCTCATCTATGGGATAGAGTAAGTTCTTGCCAGAGTCTCTCTAAGCTAAATATTTTACTTCCAACACGTGAGGGTCATTAGAAAGTCTAGGCTACAAAATTAGCTGGCAATGTCAGTGTTGGATCTGTAGGGTTGCTTAATACTGAGAACCTACCTACTAACTACTAAACTTGTTTTCAGTATTTCTAGTGTAAAATTTGGACTTCGCAAAATTTACTAGTTTCGTGACACCTGACATGGGAAATTGATTTTCTGGTTTGTTTTGATACATGTTTGGCAGGCCCCAAGGAGAAACTGTTGTAGAGTGATGAAGGCAAAGGAGAAAGGGACCATGGTGATTGATGTGGGTATGTGCACGGAAGGTGAGGTAAGCGAAACATAATGGTGACATTTCACTGATAATTACATTATATTATATTAGGGAGGATGTTTCTCGTGCATCATCTTCTCGTGGAGTTTCCTAAAAGATTATTTCTTTATTTATTGGGGTAGCTCACTCTGAAATTTTTGTAATTTTCCCCGGGTTTCACTCAAATGGGGTGAGAGTTGGGGAAAGGTCCATATGTACAAAGAAATTTGTAATCTAAACAAAAATGTAGATGGGATTGCCGAGGGAGAAGGGAGAAGTTTAATTTGTAATTTATTGTCCCTGAAGAGAATCTTTAGATGCGTGCTTAATGTGCCAGTCTACCATTTTCACATACTTAAATTTGGTTCCTTCTCCACACGGAAATAGTTGTTCTTGTGAACTTAATAATCTTATATCTGATTTATTACTACTGAGTAGATTTGTAGTTTTGCACATATGACTCGGTTTGAAGCATAATATTTGTTTTTGTTTTTTCCTTTGAGTATCCTATTATGTAATATTATATAATAGTACTGTATTGAATATTGAATACGGATCGCGAAAAAAAGACTGCACCAGATCTACTTGCCTAGCTCCCTACGGTGTCTTCTAAAAAATAGCTATTGAGTCACATGATGAATCAAAATAATATATATTATGCACGAGGTGGAAACTTTTGAGATGCTATGTGCAATCAAATAACATTGTATATTAAATTGTTGATTAAAGGGAGATGGGGCTCAACAAGTTGTACTCCACCCAAATTTATGAATGAAAAGATGCCAAAAGAATCATGAAGATTGAAAAATTAAAAGCCGACAAATTTTTGTAATCCATTACACGGCAACCCCCCTTTGATTGTTTTATATTATTAAATACTATGATATGGTTAAAGAGGGGGGCTAAAATTATAAGTTTTATTAACTTTAATTAATAAAAGTTATAATTAGTTAAAATAAGTTCATAAAGATTGTGTCAAAATAAAATGATCTAATTCATTCTTCTTTGAGGTACCAACTTTCCTTTCTCTTTCTCTCTTTATTTGACGATATATGATTTATTTAATTTTTAAAGGTATAAATTATTTTTTAATCTTTATATAACAATTATTTTTTTATGACGAAAAATAAGTGCCTGAACATGATGATTAGCTTCTTAAATAAGTCACATAATCTTTAGATGCTTTTCTAAGATGGCAGGTGCTGAAATAAATATATGCACGTTAGTTCAATTGATTTGAATAAAAAAAAAATCTTTTACTTTTTAAGAGACTTTTGAATGAAAAAGATTGTTTTAAAAGCTTATGATGTGAAACGATCATATGTTTTTGAAAATTTTATTATTTAATTTAAAATGAAGTATACGTATTTTTCACCTTATATCTACTGCATCTTCCTTACTTTTCTTTAAAACTACATATTGTATTTACTATTCTATTATCAACATGTTGAACAACTAATATTTAGTCATTGTTATTTTTTTAAAGATAGTGTATTTTTAAATAAGTAAATACTACTTTTGATTTTTTTATAAGAAATAAAATAGAATATTTTTTATCTTTATTATAAGAAATAAATGATAAATTTAAGATACGTTAATTGTTAAAAAAAAATTATATTTTTTTATTAGTATTATTAAATATACAAATTATTAACTACACTATTTAATATCATGTATATTCTTGAAATAAAATTTATATTTATAAAAAAACATAACTGACTTAATTATTTTCTTTGATCTCGATGATTCATGAATTTAGTGATACATATAAGAGTTATTGACTTTACATACGTGAACAAAATAATTTTTTAATCCATAAATTTAACAAATAACTTTTATAAGTTAGTAGCAAAAAATACAAATAACTAACAAATAGAAAATATTCTGTGAATAAAAATACCAAACCAATATCTACTTAGACTAAAGGTAATTTAATCAAACAAATTATTTATAATATATATCTAAATTTTCAACAATAAATACAAGATAAAAAATATATTAAAAAACTAATAATAGCATACTTTTATCAAAATGTTTAACCTATGTGACGTTACACGTAATAAATTGTAGTGTTTAATAATATCAATACATTTAAGTATATTAAATAATATAATTTTTAATAAAAAATTATTATATAAATGACAATACTTATGAGAATAATAATTATAGACGTGATTAGATGATCAACAGAATATTATGGAAACTTAAAAGCAAGTTTATAAGTTGACTAATAAAATTACCTTATTTTATCAAGTACAAATAATTAAATGTTGTGATGTCAGGGGTATCATCCTTAAATTTTAAAAATCATCATTAAATAAAATAAAAAATATGTAGACTATGAGAATGTAACATATAATAAAATATTTAATGAGTCACCTCAAATTTATATATTTTATTTTTAACTATTATCTCACTTCAAAAGTTGACAATGTTTATATAATCTTAATAAAAGAAATTGTATGTTGTATTAAAAATATTGTGTGCAATGTATCATTTAATAAAATAAATAAATTCTTAATATTACATATATATATATATATATATATATATATATATATATACTGCAACTCTTAAATATTATATTTAAAACATTTTAAAAAAATTAAGGAAAAAAAATCCCTTAAGAACATTTTTTTGTGAGCGTAGTCAAACGAGTCCACAGTCGCGATTTTTTATCTTCTAAATTCAATTGATTAATGTGATAGATTTTGCTTTAATAATAAAATTACCCACACAGTACTTAGAAACAACAAAATAATGGTAGTCTCTTAAACCTATGTTGTCCTATTATATTAATAATTATTATTTCATATTTTAAATTATTTGTTTATTCAATGTTTTTTTTATGTGAATGCTAAAATAAAAAAAATAAAAAAACCAATAAAATTTCTTAAAAAAGCAACTAACTTATTGGGAATGTGCTTCTAAAGGAGTACAAATACTTGTAGGAAAGATTAGTAGCGGATCTAGGACCTAAGATTAGAACGTGTAAAATACAAAAAAAAAAAAAAGAATATCTATAGTACAATAACATAAAATTAGGTGGTATAAAATACAAAAAAAATTATATTATTAATAGCAATTTATCAAAGTTGAGGGGGTGCATTTGTCCCATCAACTCTATGTACATCTGCCACTAAAAAAGATACAATCTTATGGTAAATTTTGATTTACTTATTTTTTAACTATAGCATAACAGCGGGGAGAAGCATACTAAACTACAACATAATGATAACTCTAAAAAAATTTAAATCCTTAAACATGGCTTACATAAATTTGCATTCATTAATAATCACAAAGAAAGTCCTGCAATTAACAAAATTTGTTTTCTGGAACTATAGACAAGCTCACCAAAATTTAATTTATGGGAACACTCTTGTAAAGAAGTTTTTAAACAAGGAAATGGTTGTTTTTAGCATAAATTTGGAATAATAAAAAGTTGTTACTTTAAATTTTACGTAGACTTTATATACGTATACAACAAAAAAGAAAAAATAATAATAAATTATATATAATATCATACATGTCAATTTCTTGAAATTCAAATAATAATAGAATTCTTTACGCGATAAGAATTACTTTTTTAGATGAATGGACTAATAAGCAGAACAAGCAATACCAGAAGTAATCAACCACAGATGACTAAGAATGTGAGGAGCAATAGATTATACACCAATCATGGTAAAATAGTAGAGATAAGTACACGACCTTTGTTTTTGAATTTTTTTTTTTTTTCCTAACGTATATGCCTAATTTGTGGACAAATGGGTTAACCCACTTGAGTCCATTTTCGTGCTTTTTCTAAATGACCTATATCTTTTGAGTCCATGGGATGCAAGTTTGCAAGTTCATGGGCCAATCCAAAGGCTAGCCCACATGCACCTTTGTCTTCTTATTCTGGGAAAAAATTGAGGACTCTTTATTTAAAGGGTACTCACACTTCTTATAGTTTAATACTTACTTTTTTTCTCTACACAAACTTCTCTTGATTTAATAACAATATAATACAACCTATCCTTCTCGATTACATAAACCATCCCTAATTTCTTAGGTAATTAGATGAATTAAAAGATGTGAAATTATTGTCAAAAGAGAAAAGAGTATAGGCAAAATTTTGTTAAATTATAAGGAGCATGTACGAAATTCTCTTTTTTATAAATGATAAAAAAAAGTGTATATTTATTTATCCATGTAAATGTATGTGTGCCTGCACATGCACACGTGTATAGTTAAAATAAATTTTCATTACTAAGTTATATTAATGTACAAATATATTTATACTATAGTCAGTGAATTGACTCACAAACTTATAAGTTGAACACATTTAACTCTCAATTATGCAAATTAATCTACATAAGCTCGTAAATAAATCAGTCACCTAATTTTAAACCTAAACACTTAATTTGAGATTGTTATTTAAAACCAGAATTTTAAGCCCACTATAAAACAGGCTCACACTGAATCGATGGGGATTGTTTTTTCAACTTTTTTCTGTATCCTGGATTCTTAACATCTGCGCATCCCAAACCTGCTTTTTAATTATGTATTTAGGATTGAACAAATAAAAACTAAACAACTTAAAAACAATGCAAAATAAGGGAAAGATAAAACAACACATAACTGATCGAGCTCTCATTATACTACACAGGCATTTTGCTAATAAAATAAAACTACATTACATTCTAAAATCATGCTTAGTTTAGCGCTTACCATCTCGAATCACCAAAGAAGAAGGTGGAGAAATGACATTGGCAACAGTGGTGATAGCAGACGACGGCGACGATGAAGGTGCAACTGCTATACGAGATAAACCAGGTGCAACAAGTTTGAATTTAGGAAATGCAAGAAAAAAAAATGGAAGAGGCACAAACAAAATAAGAGTAAACGACAGAGATATCAGAGGAAAAAAATGAGGAAAGCATGAACAAGAAGAGAAAATAGAGGGATGAAGGTGATGGAATTTTTATTTTAAAGACAAATCTTTAAACAAAAGTACAAAGGAATGCAATTGAAAAAAAGGTATGCAAAAAGCAACTCCATGAATTAGTTGGTGAGAGTGGGTGTAGAACCAATAAAATTGGACTTGCGGCCTCATCTGAAGTGTCAAGCACTTGGCTTCATTAATCTTTTTTCAGTTACATAATTTAAAGGACGTGATTGAAAAAAAAAAACAATAAATTAAATTAGAAAAAATATGTAACCCTAAATGAAAGGCTTTTTGACACTTCTATCAAATTAATAACTAACTGGGACATATCCTATGTACCCGACTACAAATACCAAAACATTTTTTTAATAAAAACCAAAAGCAACATCATACATTATAAAAAATATATCATTAACTAAAAGTTTATAATTAAATTAATCATTGATAATATTGTTCTTTTAACGATAAACTTTTAGTATATAGTATAGACATTGCGAGTTTATTAATCTATAACACCAAATATTAGTATAATATATTATTTTAGTTTAAATTTTTAAACTCTAAACGAAGAATTTATTTTGATTAAACAAATTCTATATTAACAAAAATGATCTCAGCACATAATAATTTGCATTTATTGATAAAATACATTTTTTTTTTTATAATAATACATGATATGTAGCATTTTCTGAAACATCATTCTATGTGTTATCTGAGTTTGTAAGTTACTAATTTATTATATTTTATTCTTACCATCTTATTATAATTTTTTAATATATTTTTCATGTCAGTTTTCATACTTCACAGCTAATTTAATAACTAAGTTTATTAATTTTTTAATTTATTCAACCAACTTATCTTTTTTAATTAATATTTCAACTTTAATACATGTAATATTAAAAAAAAATATTTGTTGTGGAGGCAATTGTCTACAGAAGCTGACATGCAGAATCCATTCCTGAGAGTCGTTATAATTAAAAGTCTAGATTAATTTTTATACATACAGTACTGGTTACATGTGTCAATGTACAATACAAATTAATACGTAGTACATCAAAGAAAAGGTATAGTATTTGAGGGAGACTTTATTAAGCTGGTTAGGTTGATGCACCTTGTCAAAATTTAATTTTGCTCTTGAACTTCAACATTGGAAAGATCCTTTTAATTATTTTCACGATGCATTGACCGATTCAATGTATGAAAAATTATTTAATTTGCTTACGCAAGCAATCAAATAATTTGAACGTTTTTTTAATATCAGCAAACAAATAAATTGATGTTCTCTTTGAATTATGGGTTTAGGATATTCCTCATATTCTCTTAATAAAAAAATTGCTTATAACAAAATTTAGTTAATTAATTCTTGTGTACCGATCAAGTCATCAATAGCTAAACTTAACAATGATTGGTCATAGATGAAGTAAACGATGACTTAGGGAACTTTTTTTTAGTAATGTTATTTACAAGAATGTTAAAACTCTCATTTTATGAAGGTGGAGAATAATGTTATTCATATATACACTTTATTTTTGAAGTGTATAAAAAAAATAATGCAATGTGATAAAAAAAAACTATATAATTAATCTTAGCTCTGAATAATAAAAGTAATGTATAATTTATGTACTTAATTACTATTCTTGACTAAATAATTAATATTGCTGCTTTATCTCATTTTTGTAGCATGCTTCTTAGCTTATCACATACACGTGGTTTCAGCCAAGTTTACAACTATATGTTATATTTACTAGTTTTGTTATTTGAATAAATAAAACTTAATATTTTATATGATTTTTTTATTTTTAACAATTATTATATATTTTAAATATAAAAAGATATCAGTCCCTGAGTAATACAAATGCCATTTCCCTTTTATTTACTTATGGTAAGTCAAGCACGTAGCTCCATGTGTATATGTGATAAATATACATCTGAGCTTGGCACAGCCTAAGCTTTCTTTCTTTCACTTATTTTCTGGAAGTAAGGTAAAAGTGCATCATCACTTTAATATTATGATTCATAAAATCAAAAGGTTCCTAACAGAAAATAATGGCCAACTCCAAAAAGAATTAAAATAAGGCACATCCTAACATTTATACCATAAAACAGTTTGGCAAGAAAATAAACCGAAGGGTAACAATTGGTGAGACTGAAATCTTCATGCATGCTTCGTGGTTCATTGTCATTTTCAATAAAAAAAAATATTGTTAATCTTAAATTTTAAAGTTTAATTTAAATAACTAATAGTAACATTTTTGTAATTTTTAATTTATTTTAATGAATATTTTGATATAATTTATTAAAATAAATTATTTTAAATTTAATTTAATAATTTTATGATAAAAATCATAGAATAACTTTTTGTAAAATAAATTTATTAAATAAACATTTAATTAAGTTATTTATCAAACCCGAATATGACCACTTCTACGTATTTCTTGTATTTCAAAACTATAATTTTTTAATTTTTAAAAAAAATATAATACCTAGGGAATTTTCTTAAAGTTCATTTAATAATTATGTAAATAATTAATTCTAAATTATCTCAACTAATTAATTATTAATATATTTATTTCTCTCTGTTATTACCTTTTCTTTCACCCATCTTTTGTCCTATTAATTCCAATTTTTTCTGGTCTCTCTCTTATCTGTTATAAACTGTAAAAATAAAATAATATAATGAAAACAGAGTAGTTAAAATAATAATAATCCGCAATGCAATTCCCAACACTTGTTTCTAAAATCAGAATCTCTTGGTAAATCTACACTAACCTATACATAAGAAGAGTGGACAATTAATATCCATCTATATACCCACGCGACAACAAAGGGCTTTAAATACTTATCCATCTCTCGTCCTTGCGATTCTGTTCATCAACCTTTTAGCACAAGTTGCCTTCAATAAAGAGCATGCATCTCATCTTAAAACCCTAATGCCTCCAACACTAATTGAAAAGATATCTTTTTAGTGGCAAAAAAGAAGGGGCACCGTCGAACCAACCATAAAACAGATATATCATAAAGCAGCCAATTCTTATTGGCACGAGACGTTGTTTTCATGAAGTGAATAAGGGACCACAACCATCAAATTATCCTTGATATATAGATATTTTATTTTATCTTTTTTGTAATTCTTGTTCTTAACATCCAACCAAAACTGTACAGCAAAATGATTTATTGTCCTTTTTACAGTATTCCTTTCCTTTTGCCAATAAACAACAAATATCTTCAACAATTCTATTATTTAAATATCTAAAAATTAATATCGCAGGTAATATCATATATTTTTTATTTGTTTATATATATATATATATATAGGTATCTTAAAATCCTCACCACAATTAAATAGAGCACCAAAAAGATATTCCACTTTAGTGATACAAAAATCATTTTCCTATCTTCAATCCTAAAAAAGAATTTTATTTCCCACTCGAGCTGTTGGCTCAGTGATGAATGGGAGCCCCATCAACAACTGATCAAGTAGCTTTACAAAAAGGTATATTTTCCAGGAAAAACAAAAATTAATTTTAAAAAAATTAAGGATAACAGGAACCATATGAAAAATCTGTATATCTAATACTATCGCATCAATCAGTTGGTGATTCAAATTCCAAAATAGAATAGGCAATAATAAATGTTGAAAGCATGTATTATCTAAGTGTAAAGCTTCATATCTATATGTACTAATTAAGCTAATTTAAATTTAAAACTAACCTTTCTACTTTAATTAATTTCAATGGTCCTACATATGATTCACTATTAATTGAATAAGCTTTGCCTTCTATAACCACTGGAATATATTTTCATTATCATGCCAAGTCATGAAGCAACTGTGTCCCCATAAGATTCCTATACGGCATATTTTGTCCTTCGCCATCCAAAAGAGAGTACTGAACCGTTTGACACTCCTCAATCTGGTCCCTTTGATAGAACAATGAGTTTTGTGTTGCTGACGGAAACGCTAAACTCACCCCACCTGCACCGTGCTGTTGTAACCCTAGCGTTAACGACACTCCACTGCCACCGTGGAAACTCTGATTTGCATTGTGATCATTTGTTGTGTAAGGAACCGTACCGGAGGAATGGTGTGTGTAAGATGAGAAGTCAAGCTCCACTGAACCAAATGTGTCCGTGGGATTCATGTGGTGGTCGTTTTGGATGGTTTTGCTGCTCTTTGTGTCGTTTTTATGATCTGGGTTGTTGATGATGGACGACACGCACTCTGAGTCGATTCGAAGGAGTGAAGCTTGCGTTGACTTTTGATCCTCAGGTCGGGTTGAAGGAGATTGGTTTTGATCCTCTTCATGATTTGTGCCACCTTCCGAGGATGCTATGTTGTTTTGTTGCTCCTTCTCTTCTTCCAAGTACATTTCCTCTACCATCGGCTTCCATAGCCTCACCCTCGCGTTAATAAACCAATTTGAAACCTGCTTCCAAATTAATTAAACCAGTGTCGCGATTAGTTTTCAAGTTCCGTGCATGCAATTAATAACAACAGTTTATTTATCGGTGAGTTTAAGTTATTGCATGCATATACAATTCTATCTTTGACATACTAATGAGATTTTATTGATAAAGTATTAAATAAAGAATTTTTTTAAAATTAAATATTAACAATAATATTTTTTTTTATTAAAAGCACATTTATTATATTAAAATTATAAAAGTATATATGACAAATATTTTTTTATTAAATTATTATTATTATCATTATTATTAGTTATTTAAACTCAATTTTAATAACTGAAACGAACATTTCTTATTAGTCTACATGAAATATGATTATTTAGCTCATGGGTAAATTGGACAAACCCTTGATTTAGCTGTAGGAATATTAAAAGATGGGAAGTGTTGGGTGACTGAATTATCTATATGAGAAGGTCGTATGTGTATTGGAATATGTTTATGCAAATTAATTGAGGGCAAATTGAAAAACTTAAAAAAAATGAAGATGTACACGTGCCTGACTTCTTGAGAGACCGGTTTGGCGGGCTAGAATATGTTTATCAACATCGCTTGGGTACCTGGAAAGGTTTTCACCAAAAAATTAATTAATATATATGACCTTCAATGGCACGTACTAAGATTAACTAATTAATTAATGATTAGAGATAACTGTAACGGAGAAACGGGCCCTACGGAGAATAATTAAACTAGCAAAAAGTAGTAGTTGAGATAAAGAAGCAAATGAAAAGATTATAAATGTCCTAAAGAAAAAGAAATGATTGAAAATAATGTGACAAAATACTAAAAGATGGAATCTGAATAGTGATGCACAGAAACTACCAAAATGTGTATTGACACACTGTTTTCAAGCATAAATGATTGAGATTCTACACATAAGAAACACACGATTATAGAGAACATTGATTCTTTAGCAAAATCTACTTTGTAGCTAACTTATATATATATATATATACACACACACTAGAACTTCATCATAGCTAGCAAACAATTATAGAGAAATAAGAAGAGGAGTAGAGAACAATTACGGGTGGAGAAAGTGTTCGAAAAGCCAAGCCCGAAGAACGGAAACGGATCGTTCGGGAAGACCACGTTGGGGTCTCCATGGATGGGTTTCCATCATGTTAATTTGCTGAAATGCCCTTTGTTGTCTCAATGCTTGGTCAATGATTCGAAGCCTAGGTGTTTCACCCCTTGTTGTGCCCGGTGCAACGGGATCTTTCTCTCCCATGGCTTTCCTTGTGGCTTGAATTTGATCCAAAATCCCATCCTTCAAACATCTAAAATGTCTAGACATGGCTTTCAAAGCCAACGCCGAGTAAACTGTGGCGGCCCCATTACCCGCCACTGCTTCAAAGGAGGAGACCACAGCCTTCATTTGATTACAATAGTGCTTGTATCTTCTATCAACCTTGAGAACAAAAAGGGTATACAAAAGTGAAAGAAAAGTAGTAATATATAAACATCACTTTGAAAGAAAGTTACCGCCAGCAACGAATTAAATGAGTCTATATATACACATACGTACAAGATTTAAAAGCAAATGAGATAAAATGAGAACCAAGTTGCTAAGAAAAGGTAAAAGGCAAAACATTAGAGGTTTTGGTTGTGAGGATAAATAAAAAAGGCTCAATTGTCACGAGGTGGGCATTGATGAAAAGGCCCGCGCGCTGTTTAATTAGTTCAAGAATCAAAGTGGAAAGACCCCAATCCCATCAACCACACCAACGAAAAGTTAAGAACCTGGATTGTGACGGGTAATTCACTTGGAGTAAAGGCACGGTTTTTACTTACACTTTTTCCATATTGTGCGGAACAATAGCACAAAAGATATATAAATACTTTCTTCGCCAAGTACAACACTTGGGAAATTAAACTCTTAAATGAAGCCCAAACAAATAAGAATATTTGAAACATATATACCTCTTCCAGCATCGAAAGCAGCCTTGTTTTTCTCTTTTGCAATTCCACGAACTCGAGAGAGCTGAGAGAATGGTTCTTTGAGGAACCGCCAGCGTTATCCTCTTCCCACTGCTTGTTCTTTTGAGAGTACTTTGGCTTTGGTACATCATTTTCCTTTGTCCCTAGACTACAAAACTCGTTCAGAAGGTCCTGTGCAGGTACCAAGAACTTGGAGTTCTTGATTAGAAATTGTCCCTGATAAAAATTCGCAGCTTTATTAGAACTGAAATACCCATCTTGCAACATTTGCTGTTGCTGAGATTTTCCAAAGAACCCCTCTTTTGAAGAAACAAAATCGGGTTGGTGCTGATGATGGCTACTTTGCCTTAGCTCAAAAGATTGCAACGCAATACTTGAAGGGTTGGTTGAACTAAGAGAGAGTGAAAGGCCTTGACTTGGCCTTTCGTTACCTTCACAAGGGAACACACACCTTAAAGAAGAGTCATCAACTATTAACCTGTTCTCTTGCCACGGGGCAGAATCATGAGCACCACCTACGATTAAATTTTCGCTACTTGTCTCAGAAATCCCTGATGTGAAATCTTGCTTATTATACTCATGCGGGTTGTAAAAACTGCTTGAAGACTCGTTCATCGTCTTGGAAGAGGAAGGACCCGCGTGTTGACTTGGTTTGCCGAAGAAACTTTTCCACATGACACCGTTGCTTTCACTTTGTTGCTGAAGATTCTTGGAAAACCCTATCATCTCCATGCCTGTGGTGAGGTTGAACATCTCTGGGTCTGTCACAAAGCCTTGAATATGGTTCATGAGATGGGGTTGAACTTGAACCGTTGGATTAGCAGAAGACACATCTGAGTAGCAGAACCCGGTTGATGAAGCCATGTCCCTCGATTTGTCTTCACACAGTTGTTGCGCCATGAAACCTCAATTATTGCTTCAGTTACTTGTTATTTCTGTTTTCTTATGCTGCAAGGTTGTGCGTTCATCAGGATCGAGCCTCCCAAAATAGAACTTAGAAACCCTCCTCTAATTAAAAAGTGAAGGAAGGAAAAAAACTGAAGGATTTGTAGGTATATATGAATATATTGAGTATAGTTTTCTTGTTTCTAAGTGAAGTAACTAAATGAGTGGAAGACCTTACCTTAATGGCAGATCAGTGGAATAGGAAGGGTTAAGGTAGGTGGGTGTTGGATGAAAGTGGAGGTGAAGGTGGTGGTAGTGGTGATGTTGATGGTGTTCCGTGGATGCAAATTGATGATGATGGTAAATTAGAGAGGAAAAGGAAGATGCTTTTACTCAGTGTTGTGGTCTTAATAAGCCAACATGAGGGTACCATGGAAACCAACCTAGGAAGAAAGATGAGATATACCTCCTCAGAAATAGAAGATCAGATAGGGGTGATGATGACCTCCATGCTATGATCATCATTGATATATGCCTTCCCTCTCTCTCTCTCTCTCTCTCTCTCTCTCTCTCTCTCCACCTCTAAGAGAAGTGGGTCAATGCAGCAAGATATATAAATACGACCAAATTAGTCTTCGTTCAAAGAAAAAAAAATCAAGGAAATTTCCTCAATTATTTCGTCCCATATATTACAAAAAAATCCTACAATCACAAAAATCATAATAATGTTAAAAATATCTATCTTAAATGAATTCAAATAATTTATTTTTTACGTGTATAATCTTACGGGAAATATTAATTAATTTAATTTAAATGACAGTTTTGTTTTATCATTAATTTATTTATGCACTTTACGTTATTTTATATACTTAATAATTTATGTATTTTTAATTATATTAAACGTATAACACATGTTTATATCATAATTCATGTAAATTAAATTACAAAATTAGTTATTTCTTTTAATAATTAAAAAAAAACTAACCTTCTATGCAAAGTATACTTAACATGGACCAGCAACAACATAAAGTGACTATCGTCCTTTGCCTGGTACATAAACTACAAGCCGCCGCATGAGTTGCTCTTTGAATTACTAACACCTTGATGATGACCCTGAAAACTGACCGTGATTTTTCGTAATGATATATACAGATAAAACTTTTACGAATTTCCTGAACTTCTGTGGTATTCATTGTTTCTTTCTCTCGTTTTTTCATCCATTGATTCGGGTATGTGATAGGACATATTTTAATATAAAAAAATTAATTTAAATTAATTTTGTATAACATTTTATAAAAAAATTGAAAATATGCAATAAAATAAATGATATGACGAAGAGAAATTAATAAATAAAAAATATATATAAACAATATAACTCTTTTGCAATCATTGTCACCGTTCACAAATTCTCCTTCTAGCAATACAAAACTACCATCATTCAAAACCAAGTGATCAGGAATTATTTTATTAATTTGCAATCCAAAATTGCATGATTTAAAATTAAAAAGAAAATGGGGAGGGGAATAGGGAAATCTTTGTAGGGAACGAATCCCGAGATTGAAGTCATTCCTAAGTAAAGTCTTTTACAGGCTTTTTCAGATTGGTTTCAGTGAAGAGAGCTCTGTTTGGGATGAGTTGGTGGGTCCTCATACTGCCTCCCTATGTTGTCCTTCTCGACCATAAGCTAACACACTTATTCTCTTCTGTTCTTTGTTAGCACACAGAAATATAGCCAACTTGCTCTATTACTCTGCTATCCACAAGCACACGGGATTTAGGTAAATTATCAAATACTTTACCATTATCGCATTTATTATAATCTTTTGCACAATTATTAACCAGTTTTTTTAAATGTACATAATAAAAACTAATAAATAATATTTTTTTTAAATCATAACACTTAAATATTATTATTATTATATTAAATTACACAATTTTAATGGAAAATTATTATGTGTAATTTCTTTATGTATTTTTAAATGCATATTCAAAATTTTGTTATTAGATATATTATTTTTGCGTGAATACACCAATAACTTTTTGCATCCGATTGAAAGCTATATTCTTTTTAACTAAAAAATTCACTAAAATAAATATAATTCCTTTTAAGGATGCCAACAGGACACGAACAGTGGTCATTACCACTGTGTGTGTGATCGATTACTTAAATTTGTTTCAATGACAGAAATTATAATAACAATAATTGAAAGAAAATACGTAAATTATAAAAACAACACAGCATTTTGTTTTAGTAAGAATAATATTTAATCAATCACGTATCAAGATTATAATAAATTATTTAAACGTAAGTAAGGATACTTTTATAATTTTATGTAAATCAATACCTATAAACGTTGATACTTTAATATCTACACCTACCTCATTCATATGCATAATAAAAAAATAACCATTTAATCAAACTTATAAATACCTACAGGTAAGACTTTTTTTAGGTGTAACAATTTTTTACTTGTAGATGTTCATAAGCGTAAATATTTTGGTTTAACATCTCTAGTCTTTTCTAATTAACAACTTTTTTCGCATGTCCAATAAATTTTTTAAATATCAACCATTGATAATTTAATAAAAATCAGAATATATGTTGAAAGGAGAAAAAGTGGGTGAGATTGGGTTTAAGGAAAATGTTCCTAAATTTAGGGCGAAGGCGAGATAAGATAATGAGATGAGGTGGTCCTATCCTTGCCCATCTAATTCTTATTTAATGTACTCCACCCATGGGAGGGACCGCCTCCTTTATTTTTGTTTATTCATCATCCAGATATGCCCCTCCACGCGCATTTCCTCTCCCTAGTACTACTCAACATAAATCTCAATTAATGCTACTTTTAACTGTTACTCTTTTTCATTCTTTTTATAAAAATAATTAATAAATTCAAAATATATTAATTATTAATATTATTAAATATATAAATTACTAATTATATCATTTAATATCATTGATATTTTTCTGGAAGTAATATTAATTAACCATCTTTATTCGAATGCCAAATTAAAGTTTAGTCAACATTATTATTAATCAATCATCATTTTTAATTAACATTGTTATAAAGAAAAATATGAATAATAAACATTAAATTAAAAATAAAACACACAATTTCTAATAATGTTTAGTTAATAAGAAAAGAATATACTATTGTGTTTAAAGCTTAAAATAAGTAAAAAATTATAATAATAGTATATTGATGATTTAAAATTATTAGCATTTGTCGAGAATGATAGGTGAATGCAGCATGTGTCCATTTAAAATATTGATGTTGGGTTATTGTATTATTGGCGACGTCTAGCTTTGCATTTTGTCATTTTCAATTAGAAGCACCTCCAACGGCCTGTTTTGCATCATGTCTGTTGTTCTAAATTTTAATATTGAAAACTCAGTTTCTTCAGGAATTTGTGTTTATTTGGAAAGAGACGCGCGAGAGAGGCGAGTGGGAGGGTGAAGGTAGCTTTAAATAAGGTGGTGGTCCTGGATGAGTATGTGGGAGGGGCAGCTTTCTCCGCCGCTTGCCAAATTTCCCTTCTCCCAACCCCAACATGATGTCATTCCCTTCTTTATTTCACACACAGTTTCTCATTTTTCTCACTGAATCTGACGCTGCTTTTCGCCTCTGTGCTCTACGCATTCCGCGCATGCATCCTAGTCAAGAATCTGCCCCGGTCACTTCGGTTTTCCAACAAAATAATTATAATTTCATTTACCTTGTTCCATTCGACTTAACATATTTATAAATTTTGTTTAATAGTATTGAATTGATCTTTTTTATTTTTTTAATATTACAAGTTATAAATTTCACATAAAAAGTGTGTAAATATATAAATATTCTTCTTATGAAGATGATTATTATATTAATATATTTTTTTATTTTTAAAAATAATCAAATTTTATATATTTTTAAAATTATTGTATCTTATAAATATTATTTTAAATAATTATGAATACATTAATAATATTAAATGCTATCATTTTTAATATATTTTTCTTTTAGCTCCTTTATTATTATCCTAAAGGGAGTGAATGAATAAACGTAGAGTGTTTTTTCGTCCAAGCCTAAGTATGAATACATTAACAGTAATAAATGTTATAATTTTTATATTTTTATTTTAATTCTTTTTGTTATTATTACCGAAGAGGGAACGGATAACAGAATCAACACAACTATAGACTATTTATTAAGTGAATTATTATTTGATATTAAATATCGTTTAATTTATATAATCATTATTTTTATTTAAAAGCAAATTAATTTTTACCCTAGTTTATGTAATTTATATAAGTAATACAATAATTTCCCTGCAAAGGGAAACGCTTGCCTTAGGCACCTCTCTCTCTGCAACAAAGTCAAAACATAGATAAATGAATGAAGAGATACTATGTAGGGTTTATCATGAGTTATATGTTTCATAAAGCATATTTTTATAATTATTTATGATATTATTTTTTAATACTGTTTTAATTATTATAACTTATTTTTTTATCTCTCTCATAATAATTAGATAAAATTTTGTAAAAATTTGTTATAAAAAAGATAGTTTTTTATTTTTGAAAAAAGTAAAATAAAAGAGTTGAGTGGTGGTACAAATTTCAAGGAGCAAGAAGATGTGGCTATGGAAGAAAGAGGGGTCAATTGCAGTACTCCACAAATGGCGGGGGATTGTGTGCGAGGAAGAACCTTTTAAACTCCGAGGCATCATTTGAGCCACATTTTTGAACAGGTTTGAAACTTGTAACTACATGCCACACAACCAGGCTATTCACTGTAGGGTGGTCCATATTCTTCGTATTTCTTTATTATGCATATAAAATAACTTCATTTAGTCGTACAAAGTAGTATATTTGTGGTTACCACTTAGGACCATCCTAATCCTACACTAGGGTTACTGCTCATGCTCAAGTAGGGAAGGCATGCAAGCACCAAAGAGAAAATCATGCAGCTTTTATTAATTAGAGATCAACCGTGTCTCAGATTTAAACATCAAGTGAAGAGCCCTTTTGGAAACCAACAACCCCAAACTATATATACTACTTCCATCGTTAACATGGACAATAATGTTAATAAAATTATCTTGTCGCCATAACAAAATCACTAAGAGGCTCCCAAGTTTCGCCACAATGCCCCATTGTTAAGAACATGAATTTAATCGCATGTCTTTAGTCTGTACACTTCTAGTTTATTATTATACTGCAGTCTACGGTCAGAATTAGTCCAAGCACGGTTTGGCCCCATTCACTACCCTCTTCTTATATCCAACATATATCATTTTCTTCAATCTCTTTTTCTTGCTGTATAACTGTAACTGATAGATACAGCTTGTTTCGAAATACGTTGCTGGATAAATTCCACTGTATGCTTCTCAAGATACTCAAAACTGAGTTCAATTAAAGAAAGAAAAGTTTCACTTGCATTGAACGAAAATTACAACGTGTTTTTAAATAAGCTGATATTCTACTTTGTTCCATTTCCTAATACATGCAAACTATAAAACTTGACCACTCGCAACTCACCAATCCTTCATGAAACAAACTAGCTGATTTATGTAACCATTTCTTCAAATGATGCAAATAATAAAGTATTTTGATGGTATTTGGAATCTTGTTTGGG